ACAGCATGAGGCTCTGTGGGGGTGGGGGTGGGTGTGGGTGGGAGCAGGGACAGCAGGAAGCTCGGTAGCTTACTCCAGTCTGACTTGGTGTTTAGAGAGGAAGATTCCAGTTGGGAAGAGGCCGATCAGTTTGTCAAGCGTGCCTCTGACAGGCACGATGCGGAGGAGCTTCTCGGGTGATGAAGAGCTGACTCCACCCCTTTACCCGTCCCATCCCGCACAGGCTGCGGCCCCGGGCCCCACTCAACCCCCCACCACTAGTGGGGAGCTGAATCCCAGCCTCAAATCAGGTAATCCACCAATCCACCATTCCTCCTAGTCTGCCTCACTCGGGGTGAGCCGTTTATGGCTGCACAGTACAGTGGTCTCATGCTGGGGTGTGACGGGCCTCAAATTCAAGGCTAAGGTTACTCTCATCTGTATGCCATGTAGCATGTCTTAATCAACACGCCCTTTCTCAAAGGTTGATTTAGTTTTACCTTTTTAAATTCCACTGTGGATTTGTATTTATTGCTCATCACAAATAGAGGTTGCGTAGCTTGCGTCCCTATAAATTACAAAACCAGAATTGTCTGATAAAATGCATAAACGATGTATCTTATTCTTAAATGAATGCAATTTAATTGAACATATTTGTTCATGCTAAATGTAGATTTCTGAATTGTCTGACTGCAGTAAATACTGCCCAGCTCCCTTTGCACTCTGTGCGCGAGTGCTTTAGTGAAGATGCATTGCACGTCTGGCCGTTTTGTTGTAATTTAATATAATTGGAAAATTAAGCCAAATGAGTATCCCCTTACCAACTGCAGTTAAACTTACTTTATATGTAGAAAATAAAAATTACTTTGATAAGGAGATAAAAAATAATAATAATAATAATTGGAGTGCTCAATATGTGAAGTGGCCCTTTTAATAAAAAAGGATTGATTGTAAAGACTGTGCAGATAGACAAAGTATTATGTATATTTACGGTATCTAAGCATTGTGGTTAGCTAAATCCTTTTTCGTGTGTGTGACTTTTTTTGTGTTTTATAGATATGTTGCTCATACAGTGCTCACAAAGTCTGGAGACCCTTGCTTATTCTGAAATGCTGCAAATTTACTGGTTTCATGACAGAAGTCCATTGACAGGCAATGTTTAATGTGTGCACATCTTCCACACAGACATTTTCTTTTACAACTGACTCATTCAGTTCTGTACTTGTCATTTTGCTGGTAAAGGGAGTTGTACTCACTGGCTGCCAAAGGGATACTGAACACAAATGTTTGGTGTTTTATGTTACTGCTTGTCGATAAACTTAACTCAGAACAGCTGTTTTAGTACTTGAAATGTTTTACTTAGCTTCTGGCCATGCCTGATGTTATATTCATTTCTTGTAAATAAATGAAGTAATGATTTTTGTTATAAAACCAATAAATTTGCAGCTTCAGCAAGCATCCCCAGACTTTCTGTGAGCACGGTGTGTCCCCATCTGCCTCCCCCCAGCACAGTGCCTTCCATAAATTCATTTTAGGTGTATTTGATATTCATTTCATACTCTCACGTGACAGTGGTGTAGGTGAACTTCATTGTTTATTGGATCTGTAGAAAATAATTAGGTATGCCAAGCAGAATTAATTAGTATTTTCCCCATTGTAAATGATATAATAGAAAAACTGAGTATTTAACGTTCAAGCCATTTGACTGGAATTATTTATAAACATTGTTAGAAATATTTGGCCTGATGTCTCTGATAGCTGTAATTGTTTCTCTTAAAGTGTGAAAGGGTATTATCTAATTATTAAAATGGTTATTTTGGTAAAATGATTTATATATTTGGGTAAAATATGTGGAAGTTCATTGAAGTCTTCTGGGGTCTCTGAACAAATATTTGACCGTGGTCATATTTACTGTCCTTATATTAGTTTTTCATGCTTTGTGTTTGAAATGGTGTTGATGAATTCTTAGTCGTCAGATACACTGCAGAATCCTAAATAAGCTATTTATAGCATGTCTTTTTAAACATGGTATATATAGGCTGTTTAGAAGATGCTCTTACTGTGAAGTATGTTTTTCAGTAGCCAAAGATGTAATGACTAGCAAATGCCAGTATTTTTAATTTTGCTGTTTAAAAAAACAGTGTGAGGAAGTATTAGCTTCTAGGAATTGATGACCGTGTATGTGATTTATTTTATTTATTTATTATGAACCATTTTGCCGTGCTCTCATGGGGCCATATGTATGTGCCAGTCAGTGAAGCCATTGAGAGCAGCTGATACCAGTGAGAACTTATAAGCTTGGCTGCTTTTCTGTCCATCTGATCCTGCCAGAATTTGTGTGGAGAAACTTCACTGATATTATTCATGTGTGGGTTGCAGAGTAGTTCAAGAGCAAACGTCTTTATACTTCTCAGTGTTGCATGTGTGTGTGTGGGATTGTACAGGTAGGGTTAGGTGTTTGGAAGAATTAAGGATTTTAACTTGCAGCCCTGGGGTTGAGGCTGGACATTTTAGCATTGATGTCAGGAGAGGTTGTTCTTGGCACGATCCCTTGATTCTTACAGGCTCTTCTCCTCTCCCTCAAGGGGCTTCACTGCAGCTGAAGGAGGAGACCGCAGAGCTGGATGAGCACAGCTTTTCACAAGGCATCTCAGACCAGGAGAGCAACGGTCCTGGCAGCTACTATGTCAAACAGGAGCCGTGAGACAGCTGATGGGGACTTTTGACAAAAGCGAAAGCCTTAAACACTGTCTGACCTGACCAGCACTTGGAAATCAGTTCGGGGGTGGATGGGTAGGTGCACAGCGGTTTTGACGAGCAGCAGGACTCCAAATCATAAGCAATTGTTTATTGGGTAAGAAAAGACACAAGAATACAGCAAATTTAGAAGAGAAGGTAATATTTTACAAGATTATTATTTTCCTTTAGCTTTGTTTTAACAATTTGCCAGATGGACTTTCAATGTTCATTGTACTTGAAGTTTTCAAAGATGTTTTTTTGTAAGATTTTTTCGAAATTGAACTGTTGTGTGTGATTTGTTTTGGTCACTTTGGGAAGGGGGTAGTAATGTGAGAATTTTTAAGTTTAAGGTGGAAAGATCTAAGTATATATACATTTTTTGTGATCTGAAAAGAGTGGGTTTGAATACATGTAACTCATAAACCTTACTGGTATGAACACATTCAGATTCAATGGATAACACTGTCATAAGATTGCACTGCAGGAATGTACATTTCTATTCACCCGTTGCAGTCACCTTTGCCACAGATGTGCAGCTTTATTATATAAGTAACAAATCAATCATCAATCATATTTTTAATATTTAACAAACTCTGTGAGAATTGTAAAGAAACAAGATATGTCACCATTGACAGATATGCAAACTTTTATTTTAAGTTGCGTTTTTCTTTTTAGACTAAGAGATGTCTGTAAAATATTTCGCCAGTTACCTAAAATTCCATATTTTAGAGCCATATTGTTGCAGAAGGGTGAAGTATTCAGCTGAGCCTCAGAATAAATTAATTTTTTTTCATACTAATATTGATTGTCACCGTTTACATCAGCAAAATTTTAAAAATAAAAACATTACATAATTTTAAAAAATATTTCAAGTGGAGAATGTGGCATAAAAGCTGTGCATAGGACCCCTGTAGGTGTGAGCATTAAACATAACTAGTTCTTGTTTGGGGAACAAAGATTATTGAATAACCAGTTAAACAACTATTGTTAAAGTACATTATCTTAAGAAACAAGCTAGGTTCACTCTAAATCTTTATGTGTTTGGTGTGTGCATGGTTAATTCCTTTCCCCCCCCTCTCTGTTGTCTTAAAACCATGAGCTACCATGAAACCAATGACTTTCATCACAAATTTGATTCCATCACAGAAATCTTTGTACTACCTCATTAAGAACCTGGCAGTGGCACACTTGACCTGTTCACTATCCATGAGGTAGTGAGACTCTGGGAAATAAAATGTGAGTTTATTTTTCTGTCATTTCCTTTATTTTTCCTCCTCCCCGCCCCCCCCATCTTAAATTTCCCCTCCAATTGGTTAGATGAACTTACGCTTGTTGCATCATCGATCCAGTGGATCGATGTGTAAAATGCCACTGCAGAAACTGTGCAGAATCAGTGTACCTTATGCAAAGGAAAAATGTGGAACCTGTTCATCAGGTATTAACTGTATATTCCATCTTGGTGCAAAGCAGGGGTGCACAGTCCTGGAGTTCTGGAAGCTTCTAGTTGAACTTCATTACTCATCTTTGTTCTTCAAATACAATACACTTCCTGCCGCATCGCAGCGTGCCAGGACTGGATTAACACACCCCTGATCAAAGGCTTCATATGGCATACATACATTAATATACTAATATTTTACATATATCTTAACATTGGAGACATTTATTTAAATGAAGATTTAATATGCAATTATAATTTTGAAATAAAACTGGCGCTTTCATATATTTGAAGATTTAAGAAATAAACCTATTAAAGATTATATACAAATGTCTACATACAAACGTGCATAAAATTTTAATTACATGTAAATCTATTGCATAAATGTGACAATTTCTGTTACAATGTATTTGGATCAGCTGTGATCTTTTTCCATAGCATGCATAGTTAATATATTTGTTAGTGTGTATAGCAACATTTTATATTGATGTATATATAAAATGTATACTCACTAATCAAATATAATTTCTCTACCTGATGCAGGTGTAAATATTATATAACTGTATACACTATAGACTCCCTTCATGTACCAGTAAGGTTGATAATTAATTCTCAGGAAACATTTGCATCTTGTTTTATAGGCTTGCTGTAGCTTGTTGGGTCAAGGCTAATTGCTTTCCAGGTGGTCAGTATTGGGGATATACAGGAAATCTAAAGTAAACAACAAAACTAATATTTTTTTTTTCTTCTTAATTCTTTAATGACATGGATGACATTGATGTGCATAATATTTAATAGTATTAGGCTTTTATGGTCACTTGGTCATGCGGTCTAAAAAAGTATTTCATTTTCACTGAGTAAAATTCCCTGTTGCATATTATCAGATATAAATCGGAGACAATTATTTGTAATTGTGTTCTTGCAAATGTTAAACATTCTCCTAAGTCTTTTATTTTTTCCCCCCACAGAAAAAAAATGTAGGTGTTGGGGGGGGGGGGGGGCGGGTACAGATTGCAAAACAAGGTGTATCATTAAGAATTTAAATTCTTTTTTTGGTTGAATGATTGCTTTTCTTGGTGGGTTATTTTACACAGTGGGGATGCTGTGACTTATGTGTGTGCAATGCCTTTCCTTTAAATATTAGGAGGCATGAAATTTCAAACGGCAGCCACACGGCTACCTTATGAAGAGGCTCCTTGTTTGTTTTCAATTAGGTGTTCTGAGGGGGTGGTGGATGCATTTGGTATAACATTCATACTGAATATGCAGTTCATGTGTTGGCTGGAAGAAGCAGAAGTTTGCTTAGTTTGTTAAAGTGTGTCCAGCAAAGCAATAAAGCATTCTGTTGTATTCCACCAAAATTTGATTTCAAGTGCATAGGCTTTATTTTTTAATTTGGGATCACATGAGTTATTGAAATAAAAGAAATGCTTTAGTTTGACTGGCATCAAGGTGTTTGAGATCTTTGCCATTGGTCCACTGAGTAATAATTCTGAGATCCAGTGGTGCTTAATGCACTGATGGTGAAACATGTTCAGATAAAAAAAATAAACTTTTCTTTTCTAGCTTGAGACAATGCATTCGAGACCAAACGTTGGCATTATGTTTGTTTGTACTTTTAAGACATGACTGTTTCACAACAAATTTAGCTGCTACCCTCTCCTATAATATGACGTAGGTGCCATTATTCTACATGAATGACAATGTTGTAAGTCAATAACAATAAAATACACAGGTGTACAACCTACAGTGTACAAAATTTCCTGTAAATGAGATGGAGGCCTTACCTGTTTTGTTATACTTGTTTTCTTGATAGCAAAAAAGAGTGAAAGAAAATTGTAACATGTTTCATGAACCAAATATCAGTGCATGCAGCATTGTGAACATCTTGTCGAGGCCCACGGTGCAGACCTGACCTCCTTTACTTTTTGTGCTATGGTCTAAAGTTATGTGCAACTTCCTAGTTTCTTTGGATACTAACACGGGTCTCTTTTTTATGTGAATCCCCCTTTTCCTCAGTCTTTGTATTATGGTGCTATATATTTGATAAACTGTTAATCCTTTTAATGGGGAATGATTTTGAGAAAATGTACTTCTGGTTGGATTTGAGTTGTCTTCTGTATTGTATTTTGGATACAAATGTAAAGAATTTGTAGAGAAAATATTAACTTTTCCCCTCATGGTACATCTGGGGGTTCAGTAAGGTATGGGATTTGTACACCTTTTTCATCTAAGTTTTGATAGTGTCTGTACATGTTCTTTCCTTTCATTGTCATGGTTATTTGTGCCGTGAACCAGAGGTTTAATAACCTTTCTATTGAATTTGTAAATAATTAAAGCGTGAACTGTTATTTTACAAATCTTGCAGACGTTTCCAGCATGGATGTGAAAAAAAAAAAGCATTAATTCACTGAAGACCTTTTTACACTGAATAAAAAAAATATATAAATGTATCTTCACTATTATTTCCTTCCACATCATCTACGGTCCTGCAATCTGTTGATGTAGTGATAGCTATTTAAATATGGGTGTTAAATCACCGATTGAGGGAACAGCATATAAAATTCCTGCACGCTACTGCCGAATGTCTGAAATTTCATCCTGAATTTCAACTCGATTCAAAAGCAGTGTGACAGATTTAGAATTGTTTCATTTAAACTTTTGCCCCTGCTGTAGAGATCCTGAATTTCAACAGAATAAAATCATAATACCTCTTCAATATTTGTCAATTAATTCACCTGGTGTCATATTATGACACTAATCTTCATAAACCAATTTCTGACCCACTAACATGATATGAAAAAAAAAAAGATGGCTAACCGGAGATGAAGCCAAAAAATTGAATGTCAAATGAAATCAAAATTACAGACCTGGTATTCAAGTATTTATTGACATGCGTTTGCTATTCACAAACACAGCATAAATTCAAGACAGAAGGAACAAAGAGTTTGATGGGCTGTGGCTGCTTGGTTAATCATAGATCCAGCTCTCTGCACAACTCGTATATGATACCAGCTCCTCTGGAGTGAACCAAAGGTTTATCTCTGCGTTGGCACTATCTACTGAATCACTGCCATGGATGATGTTCCTGAAAGAGTAAACAGGAGCCATATGTTAACCCAATGGTGAAGAAATACACATGCGCACCTCTCATGTATTTTACCATATAAAAATTACATACCAAAATTACATTGTGGAAAACTACATACAATTTCCTCACCTGCCAACTTGAATGCAAAAGTCACCTCGGATGGTGCCTGGTTTCGAGTCTGCAGGATTGGTTTCACCCAGCATGACTCTCCCAGTCTTCACCACATCCATGCCTTCCCACACCTTTGGAGGGAAGAATATCACTTATCATTAAGTGCCCTTCTTCATCAATAATGAGTATATTTGCAATGATTTGACTAATTGTGTACCAATGTATACAAGATCTACCATGGCAACAATAGGGCCAGAATGCATGTATTTAACCAGGCCAGGAAAGAATGGTCGTTCACTAAGATCACTGTAGTGAGTCTTCAAGAGGTCTTCCGATGCCTGCAGGGCAACATGGAAAGAAAACAGCTGCATATATTTGAAAAGAAACAAATGTTGATGCACAAGTCCTCATGGATGTTTTACAGTGTCAATATCTCAGAACTTGAGTGCATCGTACATGGTGTATGATGCACTCAAGAGATCCTGCAGGTACGCACATGATCCCAAAAATCAGCTACCAACTTGATAAGCTACTATATACTGCTCATGCACACCCTTCTGTGAATTCAAATGGTTTATTACTAGAAACATTGAATGACTGATATATTACAAACACATTCAGTTTCTAATCTAAGAGAATTTCCATTTTGCACTTCTGATGAGCGATGTCTCCCTTAATGTACAAGAAGGCTAAATTGTAACACAAACAAAATGGAGAATTGGAATACCTACCTATTCACATGGCTGAATTATTAATGTTATGTTCTAAAACCTGTTTTTCTGAAGCTCGCACAAAGCTTTACCAGCACGTTAATGGCCTACACCTTTCATCAGAGGAACTGAGTATGTCAACCTAAAGCAACTACAGGTAACCAAGACCATGTGTATAAAGATGCACAAATAAATGCTTGAATACATTTAACTTACATGGAGAAGCTTCATACCGACAAGTTTAAACCCCTTCTGCTCAAATCGCTTGATGATTTTTCCCACAAGTCCTCGCTGCACACCATCTGGCTTTATGGCAATGAACGTGCGTTCTTCAGCTGAAGTCATTACCCTGAAACTTTAAGACATACAGGAACTTATGGATGAGAATTAGGCAACGCTCTGAAGGCACAGGTTCACATTTTATAACATTTTCCACACCGGCTATATGAGGGGCAATAAGAGGTCACACTGAGAAAACTATAACTGTGCCTATAACCAATAAAATGCCATATACACCAACCTAACAGTTCATTCTTACATGACGGCGATAATTACTTAGTTTCTCGTCTTGAGAGAGCAAGGGAAATAGGCCAGTTGGTTGCACAACCTGTCACCTGGAGATTTCCCCTGGTAATTTAATTAATTGCTGTCCCTGTACCAACCCTGCTGAGTGCAATGACTGAACAAGCAGCCTGGCGTCTTGAAGCGCCGGAAGCCATGCAGCGCCTTTCTTACTTACTGAAATATTTAATGACCCTTTCAGCTTCTTTTTGTGCAGCGCTGAAATTTTAATAACGCAACTAGATAAACAATATGGGAATGGAAAAACAAGAGTAAGCAGTAAGGCATTGTAATCAAACTGGCATTTATTTAAGGTATTACTCTAAATCGCTGCATATCTACACGCTCAGACCGCACGAAAATAACTCACAGCCAGCACTGAGATTAATACCGCTTCGTACGGGAAGCTCAGCTAGTTCTCAGTGCAGCATCCAGCCATTCTGTTAGTCATTTAGTGATCCCGGCAATGCTATTTATAGACCCATGAACTGCCAGCTTTGCCAAATTTGAGTTGGCTATGATAAAACTACAGTCATATCTAACACGCTAGCTAATCAAACAAATAAAAAAACGATTTAGTAGAAATATTATACATCAGCATCCCAAACGAAAGACAATAAATAGCTACATCATAATTAAAACCATGAGCGCAAAAACTACGAGTGGAATGTAACTAATCGAGGTCAGGCAGGTGATGTATGAAATATACCAGAGACCAAATTTAAAGCAAATTATTTATGCACATCGGTTAAAAATGGTATTCAAATTATAGCTACCTTTATTCCAAAAGAGATAGTCGTCTACTGCTCAGCAGCGGCAGCAGAGTGTCTTTGCCTAGAAAACTGAGGCTTATATGTGTGATGGAGGCGGGGATTGCCGCTGCTATTTAACAAGCAGAGGAACAGAGAAGCCACGCGGCGTTAACAATCCCACCTGCCTCATGTATGCATGTATACAGGACCTCGCGATTATACCTGTAAATGTTGGAATCTCACATTATTGATGTTTGCATACAAACATAAAAGCCAAGCAACGTGAACTCTGCAACCTGCAAAGCGCTGCATGTATTTTATACAGTAAATTCTGAAATATCTTCTAGTTTTTTAAAAGAAAATAGCAAAATAAAACAAAATAGTGCGATCGCTGCTATTGTTAAGATTTAGATAAGGCTTGAGTTGCACTGAGTTTCATTCTACAATCTGAATCACTTTTGACTTTAACATTTTGCTGTACTTATTCCTTAAATGGCATTCTAACCTTTGTAAATAATAAATCAAAAATCAAATCTTAATTATTCTTGACATACGTTGTCCTGTAATACCATAGCTACAGTTAGAATTTACTTAGGAAGATTAACCCAGACCATAATATAAATAGCAGCTGGCATTTGGGTCATCAGGAATTATATATAATTCCTGATGACCCAGTTGGCTGCTGCCATTCTTACAGAGAAACCATAGCTGGATGAGAGCCTACAATATATCATTTAATAGGCAGACCAAAAATCCACCCTAATATTAAACCAAGTGTGCTTTAAACATCACATTACAGCAGCACTGGGAGAAGAAAACAACTCTTTTACAGACACATACAGCTGGTTTTGACAAGCTGAGGGCTTCCTGGCATCTGCTACAAGCTGTTAGCTAGACAAAAGAGTAAGTGGGATCACGTGCAGACCAGTGATGGCTATATAAACTATTCGATTTGCAAGGAGCTGGCATGTCTAGTCACCAGACACAGAAGATGCCTTTAGATGCATTAGACAGCATTACCAGCACTTGATGGACTTTGATAGGGGTCGGATTGTGGGTTTGCATGAAGCCTGGTGGTTCTGTCAATTGCCTAAGATTTGGAGCGTGCAGGTGTCACAGTCGCCCGATGTTGGAACCAGTGGGTGCATGAGGGCACCATCATGGCGTCGTACCATGTTCAGTGATGAATCTTGGTTCTGATGACCGTCGCGTGCGAGTATTATGGCGCCGAGGGGAAAAGACCAATCCTGCCAATGTTATGGAGAGACACACCGGCCTTACTCCTGGCATCATGGTGTGGTGAGCCATAGGGTATGATTTCAGGTCATCTCTGGTAGTGATTCAGGGGACCCTGACGGCATAGCGCTATGTCAGTGACATATTGAGTCCACATGTGTTACCCCTCCTGAGACAGCATCCTGATAGAGTCAACAAGACAATGCCCATCCCCATACGGCACATGTATCTATGGACTGACTGCGCCATGCTGAGGTCCTCCTGTGGTCTTTCCCCAATCGAACATGTGTGGGATCGGCTCGGATGTCAATCAAACCCAGTGCCAATCTGTAGGATCTTGAGGGTCAATGACAACAGCTGTTGGCCGACTTGCCGCAGGAGAGGCCGTACGACTCCCTTCCGCACTGTATCACCGCATGTATCCAGGCCCAGGAGGGGGGGTGGGGGGTGCCACACCCTACTGACATGGGAACAGCAGTGTGCCCATACTGCCAACTCTGTTGTCTGTTTGATCTGATATTATAATCACTGCGATACAGTTGCATGACCTTTCACCACGTGCAGATTCATTTAATTTCCACCACTCTGTCTAGGTGCTTTTTTTGTCACTGAGTGTATGTAAAATTGAAGCTGGTTGTTTTCTCTACAGCTTCAATTTGTTTGTTTGTTTGTTTGTTTTTAATCACATTTTAAAAATACCCACACACACTCCCTGTTGATGGACAATGGCAGCACAACCTGTACCTGAGGGGATGAGGTGCACGCAAACACTCATGAATAATCATGCAGCCTTAGTGAGGAAAAATCCTTGCCTGCAGATACAACACAGGATGGCCAAAATATTCATAACAAATACAACAATAAAATAGCAATAAAAAATCTTAAAATTCAAAGAGAAGCAACCATATGTGCAAAAGACAAGCCAAACAACAATTTCTACTCCTATATTATGGATGGGTTTCCTATTCCTGTTCCGTCTTACAAGGTAATGTTTCCTGCATTATCATCACCCTGACCTGCAGCATCTGCAGGTTTCAGGAAAGCAGTTCTACGTGTGTGGAATTTGCATGTTGGCCGGGTTCCGTCGTGGGAACAAATTGTCCCTAAGTATGAATGTGTGTGCGCCCTGCCTCAAGAGTGCATGTAAATTCCACAATGTAAATTACGTATATTAATACCATAGCTTGTACATGAATGGAGGCCGTCTAATCAATTAATCAATAATTACAATTTTATAGGCACCTATTAACGTTAAGATACATTTAAATACAATTAACATCAAATTAATAGGCTATTCAATTTCGTTATTTTGGCAAATGCTCATATTATAGCAACAGATTTTTCTGGGCCATATACTGTAAAACATTTCACTTTATTTTAACATGATTAAAAACTTTAGCAAGCTGTCAACTCTGGCGTGCAGTAATATTGTAATATCTGTATTATCTGTAATATCTGCCCGGCCAAAAAGTCGCCATTTGAATTTATTTCAGCAAATACTTAAGAGCCAATGACTGGATCATTTTTATAGCTCAGTTACGTTATTCAGCAATAAAGTGAAGTCAGCTGAGTACCTGAATCTACTGGCCAGGTTACACCTCCATCCATCCATCAGCAATGGATTTTTTCTTCCCTGTTGGCATGAGCATATTCCAGCACAAGAATGCCAAGATTCATTGAGTTTGAATTGTCAAAGAGTGGTTCAGGGAGCATGAGGAATCATTTTCACGTATGACTTGGTCACCACAGAGATGCGACCTTAACCTCGTTGAAGGTCTTTGGGATGTGCTGAAGGAGGCTTTATGGAGTGGCTCAACTCACTTGTCAATACCCGATCTCGGTGAGAAATGAATGCAAATCTGGATGAAAATAAAGGGTGAGATGTTGCATAAGCCTGTGGAAACAATGCCATGACAAATGTGCGCCATAATCAAAGCTGAAGGTTGTCCAACGAAAAATTCAAATGGCGACTTTTTTTTTTGGTGGGGCAGTGTACTGAGATACTAAAATTACAAAACACTGACTTAATCAATGGATTAATGCCTGGATCACTGTTCCATGTATTTAGTTAAACATTATCGCATTTTATTTCCTGAGAAGATTCACCATAACTGCAGAATGTAAGTTATTTAATAAGGTCAGTAGATGGCGCTGTAATCACATATGTTTTTGCACTGACGGGGTTTCTCTTCTGGTTTATTTTGGCAGCTTAACTGCTTTTGGATATCAACTAAATTAGAAAGGGTCTTAAAAATGGTTTTGAAATAATGTAACGTTATTTTCAGTAATGATTAGTTCCGTGTTATTGCCACTGCCAGGTTATTTAGAAATTTTAATAAGGCTTAAAGTATTTCATGAATATAAAAACCCTCGATTTATTTCAAAACCAGAAGTAGCAAGAAACGCCTCACATGCTCACATACATTCCGGAACATTTAAAACCCATTCCTTTTTAAACAACAGTTGCCGCTAATTGTAGGAAACCTCCATGGCAATTCATATCAAAACATAACTAAATTGATTTTCTTGCTGTTGTTGTAATGTGACTAATGTTAAAGTTGAAGCTTGAGTTTAATTAAAGGCCCATAGTATCACAAAAATAAATTATCAACACAGCACTTATAGTTTAACGCTAACATCAAATAGTGCTTGTTAGAACTTTGGTTCATATGAACACCTTTAATAGTGATGCTTGCTTTTACGGTGATGAATTAAATAAAGATTTCCTTGCTGTAAAGGAATAGTAATTTGAAAGTTTTGTTCACAAGTTACTGTATATATATCGCCGTCAAAACCAAAGGCAAATCCAGTTTCCCAGAGTCACCTTGTTTTGCACAATTGGAGAACCCCATTCATTTTGATGCAGCAACGCTTCTGTCTTCCTCTACATGTTCACGAGCTGCAACAGCCCTAATTGAAAACTCATGCTTCACAAAATCTCCTATCTTGTATATAGCCAATAAACAAAGAGAAAAATGGCACCCAGAGCATGAAGTTTATGAACATTTTGAAGTCTAACGTGTCTCAAACAGCCTGTTGAATTCGGAATTGTGTACTCTTAATCTCAGCACTAGCTACTTAATCTTCGCTATTCCAAATATTTTTTTCCTCAGATTAACATTTTATATTAAATTACATGTTATTCATCTGAACATTTATTTTCCTTTTTTATGTCCACTGCCTGATGGCTTTCTACTAAATTATATTGTGAGATGAATGGTATCCACTGCACTTCTGTTGATGAAAAATGGCTCTGTCAACTAGTGGAAAACAGTATTAGTTCTATTAGTATTAGAACAGCTCCAATAATGCATAGAGCATGTGAATTAGCTATAGGCCTAAGTAATTAAATTTGGTGCTTCCTTTACTTTCAGAATGATCACTCCGTTGACGGGATAGGAATATACTTTTAACTTGCCAGCAGAGTCGTCTTTATTTCAAGGCCCTTAACCTTAATAAGCTCTTCAGGGTTACTGGATAAATGGCTTGGGTTCCAGCCATGAACATGTATGTTCACATTTCATTGGAGACTAATATAGGATTTGCAAATTTCATTGTACTTACACTTACTACCTGTA